GTACTCTAAATATGAAGCTACAGCCAGCAGCCAATTAGCTTAGCATAAAGACTGGAAACAAAGAGAAACAGCTGTAACAAAATACTCCTACCATCACCTCTATAGCTCACTAATTAAGCCGTACAAAAACCAAAGTGTAGCTGTGGCATTTGTGGTTTTATGCTAAGCTAAGCTAAGCTAACCAGCTGCAGCTGTCGCTTGCTATCTAGCAGACAAACATGAGAATGGTATCAGTCTTCCCATCCAACTCTTGGCAAGAAAGCAAATAAGCGTATTTCGTAAAATGTCAGAGTATTGCTTTTAAAGTAATACATATTTTATTGTGAGCATGATGGGTGAAGCAGAGGAGTCTTGGGCCATATAGACTGTTTTTCATTTTTTATTTCATTTTGATTGTGTGAGAGATCAGATTATCAAAGTCCTAATGTTTTTCCCAAACTTACCTCCACAATGACCACACAAACTCCTTATAAGCTTGATGCAGTTACAGCATAAGCATTTTTGCCTCATTATCATCTTCTTTTGCTGTTGTTTCCATTCACTCTCCTGTGCACCCTTACGCTTTGTGTTGCCCAGTGTTGTTCACTATTATCATCAGTATTCTGGGCACATAGCACCACTCAGTCAGTTAACATTATAACATTATAAACAGAATAAATATGAATACACTGTACACTGTATACATAAGTCAGACGTGTGCAGTATTTGTAGTAATATAAATATGAATAGGCTACAGGGCAGATGTATACATATGGACAGTGGTGTATTGGTATGTGAGAACATAAATAATGTGTAGTAGTCTATGTGCAGTAGTGTAGGAGCCAGTAAGGCAAACAATCCCTGTATGTTTTGACCAATAAGTAACAAGTAACACAACAATAATGGAACAGATGTGTTTGAGCTCATTTAGGACACAATTACAATGTTTCCACCACTGACACATCCATTTTTCTACTATATAATGTCTTCCACAGTACTTGTCTTGGTCAATTGTTAAATAAACTAATTTAACTGGTTCTTTTTGGAAATGTTTGTTAATGTTATGTGTTCATGTAAAAACAATTATATGGACTGCTATATTGTTGGCAGAGGGAAACCTCTCAAATGTCTTGTTGTTGTTGGGGTATTTTTTGTGTGCAAAATGTCAGAAAATAGTGTCCAAATTGATGTTCACTATCATACATGACAAAGATAAGTATCATATTCTCACATTTTAGACGCTGGGACCAGCAAATATTTGGAGGTTAATCACAGTCAATCAATTGATCAAATAATATTTTCTGTACAGTAATACATAGTACCACGGTGTATAGTTCTAAACCTGTTCTAAACTGATAATAGAAATGAATGTGTGAAGTGACCATTCAGTGCTCATAAAAGATTATAGGAAGGCATAATAGGTCTATTATTGGCTAGATTTTCCAATTTCCATATACATCATTCTGCCTTTGAACAGTCATCTAAAAGGAAATACTAATAATAATGTTATAATGTCTGTTATGTAACATTAGCTTCAAAGGGATCTATGTATACACATTTGTCATTTCATTTTTCATTATTTAACATATCACTTCAACAATCTCCCCAGCAACAGAACACATGATGAACAACCTTAGACACAAAAAAGACAGGAAACACAAGAGGAAAAGAGCCTGATTGATTTGTGGTTCAAACAATGTCTCAGTTTCTCCAAGGAACTTCTGTTCTTGCCACATTCTAGTAGAGGAACTTTGTGTGCTAGACTGTAAACGGTAAAATTGAATTTTTGTATGCGTCCACAGGAACATGAACGAGTGCACCAGCCGGGCCCATCACCCAGCTCCCAGAAACCCAGAGTCTTCCACTGCTCCTCCTGCGCCAAGTCCTTCGCCAAGCGCAGCCAGCTGGAGAGACACAACCGAACACACACAGGTAAGAGGATTATGGAGCACGTTTGCACAGTGCATGTCAACATAAACTGGTGACATCACCACTGTCACAAAGTTACGATATAAATAATCAAATGTGACGTGAAATAAAAACAAAACAATTCCATAATGAAATTAATAAAATGAATGATGTTTTATTGATTTCTTTAGTTATTTGACAATGTATTTGCTCACCAATAGCACATTTTATACAATTGGTTTCAATAATTATTTCTATCTTTGGTTTATTTAATATTTAACTCTTCGGGGCTCCATAAGTACCTAGGTCTCTGTGTTATTATGGATATTCAGGGACAGCATTTCAGAATCTGGTTTCCAATATCATGTATCTGTGAAATTTGTTGTGTGAATGAAGAGAGATATTTGAGCTCCATGGAAACATGTAGTTCAATTTTACAGTATGTTTTAGCCTGCCAAGTGCATATGTTGTATCATGAGTGTGTGTTACATGATCTCTGCCACTGTATACTGTATGTCAGGAATTCCACAGTAAACTACTACCTTAACATGTTCCAGCTAAAATCTTCAACTGACAGGAAAAACTGAAAAATGAGTTTGATGGCTCCACATCAGGCCAGCTCTGTAGAGATGTCTTCTTTCAACTTGTAAAAATAAGTTTAATGTGTCCAAATCAACAAATAGTCCTGATACAGTTCTGAACACACAGTCACAGCTAATAAGCAGCCTCGAACGCCTCATCCCTCTGTGAAATCCTAATCACCCAGACATGATTACCAGCCCTCAATGTACGTAAAGAAACAGTTCTGTTGGCCTATTACCATTTGAATAGACTCATCTGAATACCATTGAGGGGGTTTATGATTGTATATGGATTCTGATTCATTTCACCTCCTCGTGGTGTCAGTTTTTCTGTCTCTAAGCAAGATTGAAAATAGTTACGGGGGAGGGAAAAAAAAAAATCCCCCTCCTGTCCCAAAGTTTTGCCTCATATTTGTAGCTGTTTTTGCTCTCAAGTCTAGTTATAGCTCAAAGAATGTGCACAGAATGACAGGGTTTGACAAGGAAAAGTGACTCTAGTCGTGTTGCCAAAGAATCCTTGTGTCCCTGTTTTGTCATTTTTGTGTCAAAAAATATCAACATAGGCTGGTTTGAGGCAATAAAAGGTGATTAAAAAAAAAAAAACTATTATTGCTGAGGTCCAACAGCTCAGAACAAGACTATGTGAAGAATATCCTTGCATATAGGTTATCAATTTAAGATCCCAACAACTGATTGCATAAGAATGATTGCAACTTTAACATTTCTACTTAATAAAGCCATAAACTTAGACCCTTATATAACATTGAATGATACTAACAAAACGAGATATACACATCATTTTCTTCAGATTGTTGGTTGTGCTCATCCACAAAATGCAGTTAGTTTCGCCTGAAATAAAGACCACCTCCGCGAGCATCAACACACTTTTATGAGATGCAGCATTGACCTTCAAGAAAAGAAAAGGCAAAGTCACACATCAAGGCCGTATATTTAATGTGTAGCTATTGTTTAGGCTGTCACCTACTAGGAAAACTGATCACAACATCCTCTACTAAACAATTTCTGGGGGGGGAGTGAGGTCGGCAGCAGACTATTAACAAACAACAACAATAACAGTGGACAGCTCTTAAGAAGAGCTGAAATTATTATCGATTGGTTGATCGGCAGAATATTTACCTGCAGCCAATTCACTGGTTCCACTTTCAAAAATGTGAGTAGTGTCTGGTTTTCCGTTGCTGCCTGTGTACGTATATTGAATATCTTTGGGTTTTTGGACTGTTGGTCAGACAAAACAAGGGCTTTTATGACATCACTTGCATGATTTGGTCCCCATCTGCTGTCTAGTGAATATACTTTTTAATTATCCAGGTCAATATCATGTACTGGATATTAAAATGACAGAGCACAATTTACATTTGGCTTTTGAAAACTAATTACAGGATGTACAGACATGTGCGTGTGTGTATGGAAATGTACGGCTTGAACAATGTAATTGTTTTTCAAATAGTTTGCTTTTAATTCTCTCTGACATCCAATAATCTCAACCATGGTTTCATTTATTTGCATTAATTTATACCAAAGTACAACACTGCATATCACAGTTAATCTGACAGCACCATTACAATGCATGAAAACACTAAATGCGACAACAGTGAATTATAAATGATCTTCTGGGTCCGTGTTTCCGTGCAGGCGAGCGGCCCTTCAAGTGCAGTCAGTGCGACAAGGCCTTCAACCAGAAGAGTGCTCTGCAAGTCCACATGGTCAAACACACTGGAAAAAAGCCCTTCAAGTGTGAGGTGTGCAGCATCAGGTTCACCCAGAAGAGCAACATGAAACACCACATGAAGAGATCCCACGGCTACGGTGAGCACCCGACTGGCGTCACACCAGTACACACGCAGGCTCGACCACTAACGCTAGTGTGAACAGCCAGCTGTGTGTGCAGCTGGGCAACTGAGGACAGTAATCATCTCTCTCTTGTCTCTCTCTTGTCTCTCTGTCAACCTCGTAGAGAGTATCAGGGTAGATAAGCATTGTATAATTAACTTTTTTCCCACCGTGTGATGTCTGTCTTTCTCCTATGGCCGTCGCACACAGTCCACATTTCTTATATAAGAGATCTTGTGTTTGCAAGGTGCGGAGGTGTCCCTGAGCACTTCAGACTGCTGGGACACCTTTCCCTGTGGAATGTTTTAACTATCTTTCATTCTAAAGTTTTGTGTCTGTTCCTCTTCTCTTGATGATCCTTCTCATTATCTGACACTCACCACTAATGTGTATGCACACACACGCCCCTCCGTCTCGCAGACTCTGTGATACATTGCAGAGCAGAAAAACCGTGATGACAGGTCCATCGTCTTTGTTCATTTGAAGCTGTCAGCACAGCTTCCTCTTTGATATCAGCGGCTGCACTTCCTGAATGTGAAGTAATTACTTCTTCCTGACAGCCGTGGTTAAGGTTAAGGCTCCCCTTTGGTTAACCTTATGCTTCAAACATTCAAACACCCCACCTTGGAGGCCGGCAGGCACCTATTGGAGATGACCTGAGGAGGACAACAGTGCCGATAGATCTGTTCTTCTTATTCAACTTTATTCAACTTGAACAGCAGTTCCACTAAAGTTTCCACTCAGGTCCCCCGGCTGGGTGGAGGTAGATAATTTAAAAAGTCATGCCTGAAACACTGGCTTCTGTAGTGTCCCTGGGAATAAGGCCCTTGACTCGACAAGGTTAGAGCACGCTGAATTCACTTTTTTTTTTTTCTTCAGAGTTTTGATGGTCATGCAAATCCTGGAAAACCTGTGGAAATCAAAACATTTGCTTCTAGGCTGGATGTGTAAAATACTGTTAAACGTCCCGAAAAGTCATTCAGTTTTTAACACGACTTTGATGTGGTTACAAACCAGCTGTCCACACACAGTAAATCTGTGTTTAGATCTGAGATCAGAGACATGGAGAGTACAGAGCTCACAGTTAAAGCTCCCCACTGTGACAGCATACTAAAGTGGGATTGAAAAGACAACCACCCGCTTGTGTTTGTTATGGAAATCTGGCGTCTTGCTGATGCGGCCATGCAAAGATCCCCATCTACATCTTTTCACTAGAAAAGCAGGAAACAGTTTGAAGCCTCTGTGGGAACAAGTGGCTAAGGTAAACTTAAAGGACAGAAGAAAGCATAGAGCATAGCAGAGTTTCATGCAATGTAAAAATGTCTCACGCGTTGCAGAGGAGGGGATTTTAAAGTATCTGACCAATGTTTGGTATTGTACATATGCTACCAAAGGCATCCGTGAATGTTTTGTTCTTTTCTTTATTGTTTATTTAGCCACTGTAGTAGCTTGGCTCAAGGGGTGGCACTGTCTGTCTGTCGGTCAGTTCCGTCCTTCTGTCCACCACCACCTCTCTGGTCCGGGCTGAAATATCTCAGCTATTTGTTGATGGTGCCCTGAGGTTTGATTGGATCCCCATCCGTCACCACCAGCAGGTCAAAGTTTTCAGTTATCCTGTGAAATATCCCAACACTTACAAGATGGCTTGGTACAACATTTTGACTTTCATGGTTCCTAGATGATGAATACATTTGTGGATCCTCTGACTTGTCCTATAGGGCCACCATGAGATTCACGTGTGGTTTTTTGTGTGTCTGAACAACTGTTGGACGGATTGCCATTAAGTCCCCTCGCCTTTGTGTTTTGTTTAAGTAGCAAATTAGCATGCCAGCATGCTAAGTCTTTTACAGTAAAGGAATTTTCCTTGCAGTCATTCAGGGTGGCTCAACAGCCCGCTATGCAGTATCACTGCCATATTTTAGAATTCTTTTTTTTGCTAATTACTTTGTAAGAGTTATATCAGGACAATGTTTGATCTCAGGACCTGCTTATACTGTTCACCTGCACTCTCCTGCCTCCTGGGTCCGTGACTCTGTCTGTTAACCAGTTAAGAGTCACACTGTAAATTGAAACACTGCAGTGGGACTCAGACGCCACAGCTGGGGTGAATTGGGATAATTTGCTGACCATTTGGCGCCTTCTACCACAAGACTGCTGGTGTTTCCAGTCGGGAATTTTTCCAGAGCGTGTGAGGCTACGTGACGTTCTCCTGTGTCGTATTGTAATCCTGGGCCGTGAATTAAAGGATACTGATCCTTTTAAAATCTGGAATATATTATTATTTTTCCTAGGATATCTTGCCTCAAATAAAGTTGTATTTTTAAAGGTAGCCAATAATTCATCAGAAAATTTGTCTTATTTTCAGATAATATTTTTTTCACGTTTTGTGGAAATATTTTTAGTAGAACAACAATACCTCTTAAAACTATTGAGGTGGAAAAAAAAACTCCCAAGGCCGTCCTTACAGAATCCTCTCACCAGTTTTATATCCCAGTGCCTACGAGAGCGTATAACTATTTTAATAATGCTGACCTGAGCTATTTACTGTGTGCAGTGGCAAGGACGGAATATCTGTCTTACAGAGTCATTTTGGCAAGTAATTTCGGTGGTTTGAGGAACAGCAGCAACTGAACTGTCTGCATAGTTTATGTTTAAAGATTTTGCTGAAAAATGTTCTTCCACACAACTCGACTGTAAACCGCCTTTGTAGCATGAAGCAGAACTGCACTGCAGGGGAAGAGTTGTTCCACTTATTTGACTCTAATAATGGCAATTTAAGGTTGGACTCTAAAACAATTGCATGGAGGCGTTAATGAGGTTTGTGTCTTTGTTTCACTACAGTATTCTTCTGTATGTGAATGCACACACACTAAAGAGCCAGGCATCCCGCAGCTTTATTTCCTGAGAAACTGAATCACACAAGAATTCCTGAGAAATACAAGGATCCCATCTATGGCTGCACATGAATGAAGGCATGTGCATGTAAAAATGGTTGAAAAAGTTTAAATGCATCCTTGATATTAGTTTAATTAGTTTACATTTGAGTGGCTGTTTGTCCACAAGGATGACTATTACAGTCACTGTGCTGGTGAAAGACACTGCAGAATTCGAGTTGCACACTCATGCGCTTCAAACTGAAAGTGTTTCAGATATAGAGAGCAAAAATAGAGGGAGATAATTAAATGACTCCCACTGTAAAACTCAATTCAGTGTGTGGCCTGCAGCGGCAGAAGAAGCGTGTCTAAACCTCTCAGCTTGTGCCAAAGTGACTTACTGTTGTTTTTGTGCTCAACTTATTTTAAGCTCAATGTAATGTGACATCATATTTACAACCCACAATGAGCATATTCAGCATCTGTCAAGTCTCATTATATATTTTATGCAGAAGACATGGAGTTTATCAGAAGAACAAACAGAGAGAATGTGAGATATTAAAACAAATGTTGTAGTAGTGAGGAGGGGAAGATTGCTTTTTGACGAATGGTCTCATTTGCATGACAGCCACTGGCAAATTGAATACAGAATCCGAGCTGCTGGTTCTGCTCTGTGAATGTGTGTTAATGGGGCTTTTCAACGCGCTCTTATTACCTATCTCAAGGAGTATTTTACTAAATGTGATTCATGCAAACCCTTTGTCATTCTTTTCATTTTTGCTTCTCCCTCCAGGTCAGATCCAAGAAGTGTCCCTGAGCCAAGAAGAACAAGCGGCCCAGGTTGAGGTAACGCCTGAACTGGACCTGGAGGTGGTTCCTGAATCATCCGGGGACTGGCACAGTGTCTTCCCCTGAACACGAACAACACAAGTCCTAGAGTCAAAAAGCACTGTACTGCTTCCTGAGCACTGATTGAGTTTTACAACTGAACAGCAAAGTTTTGCCAAACCTTTTCCTCGTCTCAAAAGGGTTATTCGGTTAGAAAAAAAGATTGAAGACATCGTAGATTTGCTCCACTGTATGTCGAGGGCTTTTACCCAAGTAGCAGTCCCCTGCTGTTTATCCAAATTAGCAGTCAAGTAAGGGGAGTCTGGTTCCCTGTGATTGGCTTAATGACTTTTATCTGTTTTGCGACTGTCTGATTGTCATCAATATGATGACCTCCGGAGAGGTTTGGCTCAATAAACGCAGGCATCCCAGAGAATTCACTCAGGAGATGCAGGTCCCTCTCATGCTGACCCTGTTGGAAAGAGAGGAAACTGTATTCTGCGAAAAAGCTCCCCAGAGACATTATTGGTCTGCTCACAGGGATGTACACGATGCTGAAACCAACTCTACTGCTGTCTTGGCTTCAGTAACAGCTGTGTAAGAGAAAGAAGCTTTTTTTCACTGGTCCACAAGAAATTAGTTTTTTTTTATATATTTATACTGTACATATTTCATCTTAAAATTTGCAGTTTGTTACATACAGTTTGTTTTAGTTAGAAACCAGCGCCCATAGTGGTGAGGACTGTTTCTTCAGTTCGATGCTGTATGAGCTGTAGACCGAACGTCAGTATCATTTAGACTCTCGCAGCACCATCCTTTTATTTACTGTCATTCTGTAAATAGTGTAGTTAGATTGCGTATATTTTCTGATGAACCGCCACAACGTGGATTGGTTGGAAATATGTAATTTGAGCATAATGTTGCATTTGTTATGAAGCAAAGCCAATGTACAGACGATAAGCTGTTTTTTTCTTCTTTTTTTTGCAGTTGTATTTTCTATTGTCCATAATAAATTAAGATTAAAGTAATTTTTCTACTAATTTAAACTTGTATTTCATTTTTATTGTTTAGTGAATACATTATTGTGTGGTACAGAAAATAATCTTTAAGTTTTCCTAAAAAAGAAATAGTGTCACATTTTGGAAAGTTATTCTTGCAGAGAGTTGGATGAGACAATTGAAACAAATCTTATGTCTGTGTGTTAAAGGTACCCTGTGCATTTTTTTTTACCTCTAGGGAGGACATATGCTGTGAACGAGCACGCGGGTGACAAAACGCACATTCCTGCCGCTATTTAAATGCAAGCCAGCAAAAATGAATGGTAAACAATGTTCGATTTAGAATATTTTAAAACATTGGCAATGCCAGTTTGTTTACAAGACTCCACAGGGCACCTAGAGTCAGGAGGTGCTTAGCTTAGCATAAAGACTGAAAGTAAGGGGAAACAGCTAGCCTGGCCCTGCACATAACTGCCTATAAAACCATGATTTGTCAAATTTAGCTCTCCATGTATATATGCAGCCTCTCATTTGAATGGAAACCAGTCCAGCGATGCACTTGGATCAGTTTTTATATCTCTCAACACTCCAACACCATCACAGCCTCCTGCTTTGTTTTAACGCAGGGCTGTTTTTGGTCTAAATGCCTGCAAACGCTTCAGTTTTTACACATATTAAAGATAAAATGTATTCATTAGTGAGGTTTATAGTGTGTGGTAGGTGGATTGTTATTCACTTTGGAGTGAGCCAGGCTAGTTATTTCCATCCTGCTTCTAGTCATTATGGTAAGATAAGCTAATTGCCTAATTTCCCTCCTGGCTGTAGCTCCATACTTAATGGACACACACAACAGTATCAAGTATCATTCTTGTCTAACACTTGCCAAGAAATTAAAAGCATATTTCAGACTATGTCAGACTATTTCTCCTAGGAGACCCCCATTGAGAAACTATTTAAAATACTCTCTCTCCAACACATTTTCCATTCTCCCCAACAAACTTTTGTTTTCTTGTTTTTTTTGTTTGTTTTGTTTTTGTTTTTACTGTCTGTATTCTTGTAGAGACACTGATATATTCAGCTACACATATAAAGTAGGCTTGCCTATACAGTCCCAATAATCCAATGATTTCAGTATACTTTTGTCTTTTTGCCTTTGTACTCCCTCTAATGCTTCAATAATCAATACAAAAAATGTTTTGAGTGGTAAAACCTGACCTAACTGGGGAAAAAGGTTTTTGTAATGAAACATTAGGTCAAAATAATTCCCATTGTGTCCTAATGGAAAAACATAAATACAGTATGAAAATAGAAAGCTATGTGTGTTTCCATTCATATTTTCATTTGCCACAGCCAGCCTTTGTACTTTTATACGTTCATGAAAACGCATATTCTGTGTGTGATTACACTTGAGCCTGAATGACGCTCCATCTCCTCCAGTCAGGAGTAGCTTAAAAAGCTGCAACATGAATAATAATTACCAAATGATTCATGAATTCTGGCTTAATAAAATAAACTATGTCATGCCGTTGGCTGCTGTAATGCTGTGACCTGACCCAGTAACATCACTTCCCTCCACTACAGGTTTTTTTTTTTTATGATGAATCATTGTCTGTCGGTCGTGCCATGCTAGACAAAACACGCACTTCAGGAGGCAGAGAGTAGAGGTGGTTTTATAATTTTTATTTTTTTATTCTCAGTTAAGTGGCTGGTCATGTTTTATTACACATACAATAATGAAGAGGATCTTTACATTCATCCACAGGATCCATTCAGAAAAACACCACACAGCACTCACGAGGCTCAAGCACACACAGACAGTAGAGAGAGAGAGAGAGATATGAACGCTACAGATCACACACGCCTGCTTATTTAACACACGTGGAAGATGGATGTTTTCGAACAGCACGAGTGGAAGTGCTGAGCTTTTCTTCAGCTGACCTTTATTCTCAGAAAAAACCTGCACAGAGTTAGTCACAGAGCACCTTTTTGAAATTTGTGTTTGTGTTTTTAAATCATCCACAAGAAGGAAACACAGCACATTGCTTTGGTAGTCAGGAGGGAAGGCACTTGATGAGCGAGGGTTGTGAATTTACAGTATGTGTGCTGTGCATAAGGTAGAAACAGTGGAGACGGAGAAAGAAGAGAAACTAGACTACACTAAAGCAAAGAGAAGAGGTCTGAATCTGGCATCATCACCAACATCACGCCTCAGATTCAGAGTCAGTTTTTAAAGGTGAAAAAACAGTGCACTACGAAATGATTTAGTTCTATATATGGAGGGGGCAATTAGTGTTTGCCATTATCTCATTGAAAGAAAAAGAAAAGTTACATTAGAAATGACTAATCTGTTTTCTTTTCAGTGACTATTGCATAAAATTGATTTAGAAGGTTTAGAAATTAAATTTTTTACCACAAAATCCACAGCCAGCCTTAGGCCCTAATGACAAACATAGATCAACATCACATTCAAGACAGGACACTTAACTACAGCTAACACATGAGGGTTGAAAGAATACACACTGGCACCAAATGGCTCTCTTAATAATGTCAAATCTGTTAAATCTATCACAAAACAGAACTCAAATGGAAAAGGTTCGAGGGAATGACGAAGACAGTGTGACAAGACAGAAAACCGCTCTGTGTTTAAAACAGAAACAACCCGGCCTTTTCATCCAATCAGAAAGCGGCAATGACGGTCAAGTCAGTCGGACTTGCACCGGCCGTAACCTTCAACTGCCCCGGGTCTGCTTCGGTTTCGCCGCACATTTTGTTAAAGAAACCATCGAAGACGTCTAGAGAAACTCAAGCACGAGTATAGAGAGCCATGGCAAGGGGAGGGGGGGGTCAGGGTTGGGGTCAGGGTTGGGGTCATTCAGGCTGCACACGTGAGCGGCTTCAGGATCAATTTCAGCAAACAGTTCACACCAATGAGGATGACTGCACAGACTCAGCACAAAGCATGCAGGGGAGGGTGGGGGCAACAGATTGTGTCGCTATCTACCAGCCAAAGGGGCTTGTGGGGGGCGGTAATAGGGGAGATGAAGGATTTAGCATATATTAGAGTGTTATCAGAAGTGGAGGGAAAGGTGAGTTTAAGGGGTGACAAGATTTCCTCCGTTTCTTCCTCTTTTTCCCCACTTTAGTCCCGTGTTCTTCAACATCTGCCCTCGTGCTGTTGGAAGGGGTTGTAGAGAGGGACCTCAGCGTTTGGCTGGAGAAGCACTCCTGCTTCCCTGCAGAAAAGACAAGACATATCTGATGAGTATGTGGAGATGGCAGTCTTTCAGGTCTGGTTCTGCACTAAAGGATGACTCTGATGTTTTTGGAGTCTGGCCCATTGGTCATTTCACTCAGCGTGTGAAGAGTATTCACCTCAGTAGACAGCTTTCTCTGAAGTCCCTGCCAGCACTTAAGCAAAAAGCTGATAAGTAGTAGGTAATTGTAGGCAATAACTTCTCACAGCTAAATTTTAGTCTTCATCAGCGATTTAAAAACATTAGCTGTCTGGCTAACTTGTCAGATCCTGTTAAAATAAAAATCTTAAAGGATTATGGAAAGAAAGTATTTCATCAGCCTTCTTTTATCAAGTCTGAAAGCTGGAGTCCCACAAGAGGTTACAGGAAGTTCTCCTCCTGAATAATATATCATAATAATAAGACCAGGGCTTAGCACTGAAAAGTCAGAGGAATCCTTTAACGTGAGAAATAAGCAGGTTAGGAAGTTTGTGGGCAATTTGCAGGCCTGTGATGATGTATAGTTATGGAAGCCAATAGAAACAAAAATAATACAGAAATGAAATGTTAGGAATGATAAAGATAAAAAAAATACTCATAGTAAGCCATTTTGTAAATTACTATTCTGAGTTACTAAATTGAAATTATGAGAAGGTAACTCAAAATCATGAGTTAATAAGTCAAAATTACTATTACCATTACATACTGACACGAAAGTTTTAGTAAGTATCTCAAACTTATGGGATGCTATGTCAAAATGACAATATTAAGCCTAAGTATCTTGGTATCTCATAATTCTAACTTCTGAGTTACATGTTTGACTATTTATTTAGTAATTTTAACTTATCACAACAATAAGTTAATATCTCACAATTTTAAAAAGTCAAAATGTTGACTTAGAATCTTAATAATCGTAATTTTGATTCACCATGAGTATTTCAATTTTTTTATCATTCCTATGCTTTCATTCATTTTTTTTTCTTGGCTGAACTGAGCTTCCATACATTGCTGATGTTGCATAATGGGAGGTCATTATGTCGAAAGCAGATATTAAATCTTTTCTTAAATATACAAAAAGATCTTTATATCAAAGGACGTTCCTGCTTTATCTGAGAAAAAAAATAGCTGGATAGGAAATTGGGTTGCATCTTATCCACTGACCACAGGTAATTACATATTGCTTCACAAATCCTGCAAATGTGTTTTTTTGTGGTTTTCATGCTTTCACAGGCAAAACCTCCAAGTTTTCCATTTGTTTTTGGTCCCCAAAGTTTCCGATTAGACATCCTGTGTTTATCACAAAGCCATTGCTGATTGTACTTTTTCCATCTCTCTCTCTCATTCCGATCACAAAGTAGGAAGAGTAGAGGCAGAAAGATTATACAAATGAGACAAATCTTTATGGATTGCTCAAGAAGATAATCCTTATTGTGAGAAGCTTTTTACTCCTCATAAAACTACGGCTGGGGACTGAGGTTTTGTTCTAATCTATTCTTGTAGACTTTTCAGATGAAATTCATTATGTGTCATGAAAGAGAAAAACTCAATATACAGCAACAGTACTGAAATGTTAATCTGGAAATGAAAGCAGAAAATGAATAGAAACAAAGTATGAAACATTAATTAAAAGTCAATGTGGCTTTATTTTCGTTGCCTTTTGGCGTGTGGAGCCTGTTAATGTTTGGAAGAAACGGAAGTGATTGTGTGATGGCACTGAGTCAGCACTGATTAGCTATATCAGAGAGATGTGAAATGAGCATCCCAGACGTTTGTCATCTCCAGAGCCGTTTACTCTCTTGTAGCTTAGTGA